AGATTCGTCCGCATCCTCTACGCCCGGAACGATTGCTCCTTCTCCGACGGCGGAGCTCGATTCGGCGGTTTCAATCAGAAGGCCGGCATGCGGCAGGGCTGTCCTGTATCCCCAGTTCTTTTTTGCGGTGTCTGCTGATTTGCTACTGCGCCGCTTGGCCAGATTGGTTCCTGACTCGTGCAGACGCGCGTTCGCAGATGACTTGGCCATGGTCGTGAAGGGCAGAGGATCGGCTGCCCCTCTACTCGAGCGCATTTTCGAGGAGAGCGAAGCCTTCTCTGGGCTGCGGCTCCAGCGCCGCGGGAAGACCGTCGTGGTCCCGCTTCGCCCCGCCGCCGTGGGCCACACTCGCCAGCTTTTGGCGCGGGTTGCCCCGGCGCTCGCGGACTTCATCATCCAGTGCCACGCGAAGTACTTGGGCTTCGTCCTCGGCGCGGAGCGCGGCACTCATCGGGTCTACGTTTCATCTAACTTCACATGTCTGGGGCAGTTGGATGGCGTGCCTGACGAGTTCGAGGACGCAAAGCGACGTGCATGTGCAGCGCTCTTCCGCGGCTCTCGAGGCTGGCTCCCGCTCTCTTGTCTACGTGTTCTTCGGCACCGTGGAAGCTCGGCGGAAATCCCGAACATCCAGGAGACTGCGCTGGCGGCCAAGTGCCGCGTGGCTACGGGGGAGGACGGCCGCAACAGAGGTCTTCGAGTAGCAGACCGTTCCTTTGCTCTTCGTCTCGCCCGGATGGCCTGCAATTTCCCCAACCGCGCGGCAGTTTGGAGCAGTTGGTGGGACGCGGCTTTCGCTCACCACCTGGCTTCTGCCACGCAGCTCGCGCGCGAGCGGGGGTACCATCCCGCTGCCATGTTGGCCCGGCTGGCCAGCGCCGCGGACGGGACAGACCGCGAGACCGCAGCGCGGAAGAATTGGCAGAGGGAGTGCTTGAAGATTGTCCAGGTGCCCGCCGTAGACGGGATATTGGATATTCTGGCATCTTCGGCGGCAGGTGGACCGCTTCGAGCTGGCGACTCTCCTGGGGCATCGGGTGGGCAGGGCAACCAGCTTGCTACAGCGCCTCAGCACAATCGTGCCGCCGCGCGTCTGGCACGCGTTCCCCCGCACGCTCTTGGACGGTTGGAGCACGGCGTCTTCGGATGTGCCGCGCGGGACGGTTTACTGCATGATTTTGTATGTCCCGCCTTCCGCTTCTTCTGCGGGGGCGAGCTCGGGCTGCAGGCGCCGCCGCCTGGGCAGCAGGGATATGATTTTCTGGGACGGGGGCCCGCCATGTCGGATGTGTCCGAGGTGACTGTCCTACGCCGCGCGTTGGCCGACTACGCCCTTTCTTCTGCACGCTATCACTCCCGACGCCGTGGCCTGCGCACGCATGCCGTGCGCGGGGCTATGCAGCAATTTATCCGCGACGCGTGCCTCGGATTCCCAGGTCTCGCGTGCGCGTGCCGCGGAGCGCAATCTTGACGCCTCGCCTCCTTCCGCCCTCCCCCTCCTCATACTCCTGGTTTGTGCGTGCGTTTGCGAAGCAGTGGGGACTGCAACTGAGGAGCATGCCACCTTCCAAATGCAATATCAACGTTTTCTGCCTGCGCTGCTTACACGTTCTCAAGACACGCTCATGTGTTTGAGGGGGATCTATATTAGAAACCTGAATGCCGGCGCTGCTCTCCCGCCCGCCTGCCTTCTGGGTGGTGTCGCCGTCCTTCCTTCCGCCGTCTTGCGTCGCTCCTCTGCCTGCTCTTGCTCCTGCTCGTCCCTCGGGCTGTCGCCCGGGCTGCGCCCTCCTCTCTCCCCCTCTCTCGGTCTCCTCCCTCCCCCGGCTCTGGGTTCGTCCTGGTCCCCAGGTGTCGTTCCCTCCTCTGCCCCCTGCTGCTGTTGCTCTTCCGGGTCGTCTACCTCGGGGGCCGCATGGCGGGCAGGTCGCGCATGGGCAGATGTTCGACATCCCCGGTTCAGACAGATTCGGACACACATCGCCGCGGCCCGCTTTTGACGGGTCGGGTTGACACGTGGTGCGCCTCGTACCTGCCCCCCTTCCTTGCTGGCCGGCCCTGTGCGGTGCTGTGCCACTTCATGCCCTCATGTCGGTAGGATGGTGTAGAGTGCACGCGTTTGTGGAGAAGTGCGGTCAGTTAGCGTCTCGCATTTCTCGCTTCCGGTGCGTTGACTTGCGTCGTGTTGTCGCGCGGGCCCAAAGGATCCAGGTGAGAGGGAATGCGTTTCCAGCTTCCTGGCTGGAATTCCCGCCAGTGCTTAGGATAACGTTTTTAATGACATACTTGTCTCGGGCGAACTGTCCGAATTTCCGCCCCTGTCGCGGCTTACTTTAAGTTAGTCTGTGATGCGTTGCATTGTGTAAGCAAGTTTTGTGACCAAGCCGCATGCCTTGTGGGCGCCAACGGCGTGCCGTTGCACAGCGGTGCCCCATACCAGACTCCAGTTCCGTCACGCGCACCGCCCGTGGAGCAGGGCTTGCGAACATTCCGCCAACCCCGCGCGAGGGAGACAGAGCTCCTCGTAGTCAGACCCGCCAGTGCCCGCGTGCCGTTCCCCTTCCTCCTCGTTCTCTAGCCCGTGGCTTTTTGTTCCCAGTTTTCCTCCAGTTTGCTAGTCGCCGTGTCTCCTGACAGATCCTGGCGCCCGCCAGGTAACCATAAGGGTTGCGATTGGGCTTCCTCCCTCTCCCTCCCCCTCCTCATTCCCCTCCCCCTTCCTACTTTACTGTGCCATCCTCGCTCACGTCGAGACCTAGACACGATGTGGTTTTTGCAGTGCCGCTTGATGGCGTGCTTGCTCTGCCTTCTCCGCTGTTCACTACATGGTCTTGCCTATTGCAGGTCGGTCCATGTTGCGTTCACTCCTCTGCCCGTGCCCGGGGCCACTGCCTTTTTTTTTCCGGGGCTTCGTTTGTCTTTTGCTGTCGGGGCCGTTAGTTCCCTCTCCCTTCCTCCTCTCCTCCATCGGTCTCCTCTCTCTGCTTCCTCTCCCCTTCCTCGGCCACGTTCGCAGGACCACCCATTTTTAATGGCTGGGCCGCTTCTCTGCATCTCTGGCGTTTCACTTTCTTCCGATTGCACGGGGTATTTGAATTAGTTCTGAGGTGTATCGCATGCTTCCCTGAGATGTTCGTGTAGAGGTGTCCGCTTTCGTCCCCTCAGCTTTCCTCCTACTTCTCCACAAGACAAGTGATGGGCGGGCACAGCGGCCGATGCGGCATGATGCGCCTGCGAGTGCGTCCGCGCGCAACGCGCACGCGGCCTTCTGACGCGCGCATTGAGCGCGCCGCCGAGGGCGTCGCGGCACCGCGCGGAACGCGCAGCAGGATGCGCTCCGTTAGAGCCGCTTGCGCAGCGGCGGCGGGCCGCGGCGGCCGCATGGGAGGGTGCGCGCGCCTCCTGCTCGGGCCCCGGCCAGCCTTGCGCGCGCGCGGTTCTGTGATTCGACGGCGTCAGGCGGGGAGGCCGCGCCTCGCCCCAGCTGCCGCCCTGGGGGCGCGGCACCCTGGCGGCCTCGTCGACGCGCGCGCTGCCACCGCCTTTGGGTTCGACAGCGGCCACGGCGCTCGAGGCGCCTCTGCAGCCATCGTGGGAGGTTGCGCTGCGACCGCGCGGGCAGTTGCCGAAGGGCGCGCGCAGATAGCTCCCGGGGGCTCAAGGGACGAGATAAGCGCTCCTCTCCGAAGGAGGGGGAGTTGCCACCGTTTGGGAAGAATTGGTGCTCCACACCATCTGCGCCCAGAGGACTGGTGGGACTCGTATCGAACTCGCTCGCACAAGCGATGTAGGGCCTGGGATGAATGGCCGCCGCCGCTCCGTATCGGTCGCCCTCCGACATGTGACACAGAAGTCTGTCGATTCCGCTGCATGTGTCCTATTTGTGGCCCCGACCCGCCTGCCCGCTTCGGCCCCTTCTTGATCTGCATTGGTTTGTAGTAGCACCGCGGTTGAGGGAAGCGGCTCATGGTTGTACTTATGGGGCTGTGTTGCGTTGCGCTTCGTCCACCGGTTGGCCCTCCTCAAGCGAGGGATCGACCCCAGCATCATGAGTTATTTCGGCCGACGTATCCTCGTCAGGAGGATTTAAAGATGATGTGGGTTGCCCAACTGTTGTCACCACTTCGTCTCTGCTGCGCTCTCCCTCTCTCTCTCTGCTGCTGGTTTGACATCGTGGGGTCATGCAGTTCAGAGGCTGAGAGGCTGAAAGATGAGGATGATGGGGGAGGTGGCGAGAGAGAGAGAGAGAGAAACAAATATCTATATATATATATATATAAACAGAGAGGGAGAGAGAGAGAGAGAGTGAGAGAGAATTAGCCGAAGGATTGGGCGGATGGGCCGTGGAAGGGAGGGCGCGCCATCGCATCGCATCGACTGACAGCGGTCCCACTCTTGCCCTCCACCTCTCCGTCCTCATGTCCATCCTCAGGGCCTCAGGGCCTCTGGAGCATAGCTCGCGGAAGGGACTTGTTGATGGCAGGCTGGTCGTAGGTTCGCATCGGGCGGCGGCAGCGGCCGAGCATGTTTTGCTTTGCCGCGCACGCTGTCGCCCTAGTTCTGTGGCTGCCCTGCTGTCCTAACCTCTGGCCGCCCAGCAAAATTATTGCGAAGGCATTACAGCCGGTGCAGCCGACGCTGAAGAGGGACGACGACGACGCCGACGACGACGATGCCGACTGCGACGGCGGTGGCGGTCAACCCCTGGCCTCTCAGCGAAATAATTTGATGGGCACTCCCCATCTTCGGAGGTTGTACTGTTGACGCTCTCCAGTCGGTATCCCTCCGCCGTGTGTCTTTCGTGGCCCTCGCTCGTTCGTCTAAATCGGGCCCTCGTTCGGTCCCCGCACGCCTCTGCGCTTAGCGTCTGGGAGTTAGCGCTTGACTCTAAGCCACGTCCAAATGAAATGATAACGCCTTCCTGCAACACGTGTTCAGTCTCTGCCTCGTGCCCCCCCCCCCAGACTGCCCTTCCCCTGGCTCGGGCCGCGCCGAAGCAGGCATGACCTGGCTGGAGATGGACGCGACGGACATGGCCTTCACGGAGCGGGCAGGGGCTGCGAGCAGATCCTCGGGGGAGTGAGAGGGAGAAGGCCTTCTCAGAAGGCTGAGGGGCTTCTCAGAAGCCCTCTGGCCCTCTGAGAAGTTCTGTGCGTCTTCGGGGCTGGCTTGAACCATTTCTCAGAGTGCCGGGGGACCTCCGAGCCTTCTGCGAAGACCCGCCTCCTCTCACCTCCCACTCCGGCCGGCCGCCGAGGACAGGCGCGGGCAGACTTTCGGGAGGTTCCCGGTTATCCAAGGACAGATGGCATGCAACACCTTCCCAGTCCATGATGAGCCTGTTTTCCACCACCACCACCACGAAGGGGGGAAGGAGGAGGAAAAGGAGGAGGAGGAGGAGGACGAAGAGGAGGAGGACGAAGAGGAGGAGGAGGAGGACAACCCCCCTCCAACTTATGGCGGTGGTGGTGGAAAACACGCCTATCAGTCCACCTTCCCAGGCATATCAGGCCGTCCGATCGTGCGATGCTAGATTGGACCGATGAGGGGGGGCTATGGGTAGGGAGAGTCGTGGTCTGCAGCCTTCTCTTCCTGTGCCATTGGCACGCGAAGGAACCACACAGCAGCAGGTAAGTCAGAGAGAGTTCCAGATACCCACTCAAGTCTATCCTGCAGCTCGCCCAACGGGCGCACCACTGCAGGACACCTGGAGCGTTTGGCCGAGAACTGGCAAAGCCCACGTGGTGAAAAGCGCATGCGCACAAAACAAATTGGAGGATCCCAGTGGGGAGTCTGGGTCGCGCAAGCTGCAGGGCCTCGGCGGGGGTCCGTTCCTGCATGTGGCCGGCAGTCCGCCTGCCAGTCCAGCGCGAGGGTCACACGCGTGATGGCACCAACTTGGAGGTAGAAGCCGGAGCACTCTGGCAGCCCACCGTGGCACCTTTGTTTGTTGAGTGGCCCGGCGGAGGCGCGCCACGCTGGTGGCGCACAGAAGTTGAGCAAGAACACGAAGTGGAAGTGGTCCCGGTGGAAACATAGACCGAGCAAGCGTAAACAAAGCCCATCCCAGAGATGTCCCATCTGGATCGCGGTCGAGAGCACACTGCCACGCCGAGTCTTCAATAGCATCTGCCGTGCCCGCGTCCATGCTCCACACAATCATCGGGACCATCTCCAACATGAGGGCCGTCCACCTTCGAGACGAAGGCTGCGGCCACTGCACGTTCCGTGCCTTGCCCTGCCCCACCATGGCTCCACCCGAGCCCAGCGGCGGCGGCGGGGTACCTGAATGAACGTGACCAGAACGAAGAAGTTGGCAAACACGAGGAACATTTGACTTAGATCTCCTCCACATGCACAGTGAATGTGGTGACCTGGCCGTGCATGAGCTCAAAGTAGAAGAATAAGCATCATAAGAACAATAAGAAGAAGAAAAATAATAAGGAACATACGAATCATGTGAAGAACACGATCTGCAACTCGAGGCGCTGGTCAGCACCCCTCGAAGTGGTCCGTGACCGAACCTAGAACCCCCGTCGGCTGTTGCTCGGCTTGGTCCTAGCGGCAATGATGTTTCTCTTTGGCGGTCTTTGCGAACCGCAATCCCAGCTGCCAATTTCCTGACGCGTGTGCGCCCCACTCCGAGGGGCGTAAGCGCCTTGGGCCTGAAGGAGACAAACCAGAGCCTCGCTCTCACTCAATTGCCTGGCAGTGTAAATATTTTCCCCCTTGTGTGCGTGGTCTGTTTCTGTTGATCTTATGTTGCGTTTACACCCCCCGTCGCCTGCTGGCAACACCTGCCACTGGCGCGCTCCAACTACCCCAGGATCTGCAGGCCGGCTGGCCGCCCGAGCAGGGGGTGAGAGGAGGCGGAGGAGGCGGAGGAACGGGAAGACGAGAGTTTGGGGAACGAGTGGATGAGAATGACGAGTTGTTCTTCGACGTCAGGGCTAAAGTAGAAGATATGCTGCATCGTCTGAAACCAAGAGTGTGATGCCCGTCGCAGAGAGAGGCCTTTCGTTGAACCCCGCATGGGGCGACAGTCGCTTGGTGCTGCACAGGGGAGCGGGCATGCCAGAGTGCGGGGGATTACAGTAGCAGAAACTCTGCTGCGTCTTCCTCTGCGGCGGAAAAGGCATCGTCGAGGGGCTCGGGCGAGCTGAAACTAAGCTGTGCTTCAGACGCTGGTCTGGCTACAGGCTCGGGGTCAGGCGGTGCAGCAAGCGCAGGTCTCCCATCACAAGTGGGTGACGAAGGTGACGAGAGTTAGGATATTCGTCGAGCCGTCAGAGTACCAGGAATCTCCTCGCCGCGTACGAATGGTATGCTCCGCTGTCGAGTGTTTCCAGCCAGTGCCCAACTTCGTCCTCGAGCCAGCCCGCTGGTGCTACTCCGCGATGATGGGTTACCACCCCTTCTGAACGAACTACTTTCATGAGTATCTTCCTGCCTCTCATTCTTGAGCTCCACTGACAAGTTTTATCTTTTCGGTATCGTAGCAGTTCTCGAGCCGCATGAAGCTGATCTGTTCGGCGAGGTCGTCCTTCGAGATTTCGCCCTCCATATTATCGTCGGGGGGGGTTCTTCATCAAGTAGGCGACGATCTCCGCTTTGAGAGCCCCCCGATGCTTCACTTCTGGATGCCATCCAGGTTTGCGATGCCCAGGCTGGGCGCTGGGGAGCCGATCTTCTTCATCCTCTGCTTTTCCTCCGCGGACCCGTGGCTCTGCATGTCCAACGCGGTCTTGCAGCTCTCCAACTCGTTGCTCACCGCGTCGATCTTCGCGTGAGTCTTCGGGCATGTGAAGGTGTCCGTCACGAGCGAGCTGTTGATTCTCGTCCGATGTGCGGGTTGGAGCACCAACTTCACCGTCGACTTCCAGAGCGACAGCAGGTGCTTGTCTTTTCTTCGACCACTGCTTCTCCGAGTGGTCGCCGCGCCTCGCCCTCCGTCCTCCCCGCTTCTTCCTGCGAGGCTGTCCCTCGGCCTTGTCGTCGCCCCTGTTCTGGTCGTCGCCCTTCACTCCTGCCTCTCTTGGCGGCGGCGGTCCGGCTGGGCGTGGCTTGGGCGGAGGAGGCTCGCGCTTGGATCTTTCGCCAGTTGCTTCCGAGCCCCTCGAGGGGTCCAGCGGGAGGCGCCATCCCGCTCTCTTGGGCGGGGCTGCTTTCTCGGGCGGCGGCTCTACCCCTTGGGGCGCCATGTTTTATGATGCAAAGTTTGCTGCGCAATGATTCTCGCGGTGTTTCGGCGGCAGGTTTCGTGGGCGCCGCAGATGGCCCATGGCGGTTCCGTCATCCCGATGCTTATCCTGCTCAAGACGCCAACGACGCTGACGACAGTGACGACAGCGCAATTCCACGTCACCGCAAGCTGAACACGACCGCATCGCTTGTAGCTCCAGCGCCTAAGCCCCTGCGTCCCATCCAAGATCGAGTCGTGCAGCAGACGAAAAGGTGGGGGGGGGGCTGGGCGAACGGCCCCTCGCGCCAACATCACCTGCCGGGTAAGCGGGCGGACGCGCCCAGGAGACCCAAGAATATGCGGTTCCCGTGGAGAAGCTACGGCCCGATCAAGAGGGGGGTCGGGAGAATCCCCCGCGCTCGAAGGCAAGGGCAATAACGAGAATAATAACGAGGAAAAGCACGGCTCAACTGGGCGCGAACGCAGTGTTTAGCAGAAATCTGAACGATTCAAAGGCAGCTCGACACCTGCGCCCGATCAGCTGGCCACCAAAAGGTCAGACAAATTGCAGAAGGACTTCCGAGGTGCCTGGGCGCCCAAACTATCGGCTGCAAGCCAGCAAAGTTCGAGTTCGGCCACGGGCCAAGATCAGCCAAGTTTTGATGCGGCAGCGAGGAGAACACTGAAAGCCACAAAAGACGCTTCGCCGAATACGAAGGAAGAGCAAAGCCAGGGCGCTGGCAAATTACAGAAGTACACCAGCAGTGGGCACACAGCCACCGCCTAGGCTGGACGGCCTCCAAGTGGAATCCTTCCGGCCCGAAGGAAAGACAGAGGCGGTGAAACTGACCAGCGTTGCGCAGTCAAAGTTCCAGGGTGGACCACCTGCCGAAGCATCTGTTGGGTCATCGGCCGCGGCCTCGTCATCGGCGCAGCCGCCGCCGACTGCGCTGCCCGCGCCGAGGTCAAAGGCTGCGCCCGACAGGCAGGGCGGCACAATCGCCCCAGCTATGGCGGACACGCCCAACCAAGCTAACAACCCTGGGCCATCTGTGGCGCCCACGAAGCCTGCCGCCGCGCGATAATCATTGCGCAGCAACCAAACAACTCTCCGGGGGGAAAGACACGGTGATGAAGCTAAGAGGAGCTACGCGTACAAACATACCTTTCACGCATCAAAGTGAAAGAACTGCTATGTCTGCGTGGTGGTCTCACCCCTTCAGGCATAGGCCATGCCAGAGCAATTCCTATTTCAAAAAATGCATGCGTGATTGAGGGACCTGGGGTCCTTGCGACGGATGGGCACTGGTTCTGGTTGCTCTGACCCACCTCTGAGGCGGTCGTCATTGCGACGCAGTCTCCAATTGGATGCGCTTGGCGCGCCGCCCAAATATGTGACATGGCTACTGCTGCGCATCGCCGAGATGACGGATTATTCCGGCGCGGTGGGCAGTTTGTGCACGGATGCCCGTATCTGCCAGGTGACCACAGGGCCCAGCCTGGCTTCAGGCCCGACTCAAACATAAGCATGGTCGCATCCATCCCACGTCTTATTCAAGACGGAGCAAAGGTGCGGCGGCCTGCCAGCGATACCGCATGACGGACGGTTTCGATGGCATGGCCGCGGCCCAGTGCCTTCATCCAGCTAGCGTTGAAGCCCGAAGACGAGGTGGAGAATGTCTGGCACAATCCCCAGTAGTTCTATGACCAGTATCATGAATAGCGGGAGTAGCCGATAACCATAGAGGATGTTGAATTCCCAGGAGGCTGGCTCGAGCCCGACAGGCTGCGTGGCGTCGGAGTGGGCGCGCCGTTGGGATTTTTTGGGCATGGATCACTTCGCACCTGGGCCCGACAGGGGA